GAACAAAATGAAATGAAGATAAGCAATCTAACAGATGCAGAGTTCAAAACACTGGTTATAAGGCTGCTCAAGGAACATAGTGAGGACCTTCCAAGCATAAAAGAAGACCAGTCAGAAATTAAGGATCACAACTGAAATAAAGAATAATTTACAGGGAATCAATAGCAGAGTAAGTGAAGCCAAGAAGCAAACCTTTGATTTGGAATATAAGGAAGCAATAAACACCCAATCAGAACAGCAAAAAGAAAAAAGAATCCAAAAATATGAGGATAGTGTAAGGAGTTTCTGGAACAACTTCAAGTATATCAACATTTGCATCAGGGAAGTGCCAGAAAGAGAAGTGAGAGAGCAAGAATTGAAAACCTATTTGAAAAAATAATGACAGAAAACTGCCTTAACTTGGTTAAGGGAACAGACATACTAGTTCAGGAAGCAGAGAGTCCCAAACAAGATGAACCCAAAGAGGCCCACACCAAGACACATCATAATCAAATTGCAAAAGGTTAAAGACAAAGAGAGAATCTTAAAAGCAGCAAGAGAAAAGCAGTTAGTTACCTACAAGGGAGCTCCCATAAGACTGTCAGATGATTTCTCAAAAGAAACTTTGCAGGCCAGAAGGAAGTGGCAAGAAATATTCAAAGTGGTGAAAAGCAAGGACCTACAACCAAGATTACTCTATCTTGCAATTGATGGATGTATAAAGATTTTCCCAGATAAGAAAAGGCTAATGGAGTTCACAACCACCAAACGAGTATTATATGAAATGTTGAAGAGTCTTCTTGAAGATGATCAAAAATATGAACAATAAAATGACAATAAATACTTATTTATCAACAATTGTATCTACAAACCAAATGAACAAACAGAATGGAAACAGACTCATAAATACAGAGGATTCTTGGTTGGTTGCCAGATAGGAGGGGCTTTGGGATGGGTGAAAAAGGTGAAGGTACTAAGAAGTACAAATTGGTTGTTAGACTGACAACCTCAGAGGGAAGGGGGGATGCAGGAACAGATAAACCAAAGAACTTATATGCATATATGCATAACCAATGGACACAGACAATAGCATGGGGAAGGCAGAAGGAGGTGAGAGCGGCGAGGAGGGGTCAATGGGGGAAGAAGGAGGGGAGCATCTGTAATACTTTCAACAATAAAAGTTAGTTTTTAAAGAGTGAAAATTAAAACTACAAATATGCCAAAATGACTAATATTTAAAATATTGACAATATTGAGTACTGGTAAAGTTATGGAGTAGTGGGAACTCATACACAGCTGGTAGGAGTGCAAACTGGTAATGCCAATAGCTTAAGTTGAAGGAACACATATAACCTATGGTTTAATCATTTAAGTCTTAGATTATATATTCAACAAAAATGTATACCAGAAGACATATATATAAGAATATTTATAGCAGCACTTTTCTTTTTTATTTTTGATTCTGAATCACTCATATTTTTTAAAAATTAATTTTTTTATTTTTATTGAATTTATTGAGGTGACAGTGGTTAATATTATATAGGTTTCAGGTGTACAATTCTAAAATATATCATCTGTATATTGCATTGTGTGTTCACCACCCCAAGTCAAGTTTTTTCTATCACCACTTATCCTCCTTTTATCCTCGTCTACCTCTCCTCACCCCCCTTTCCCTCTGGTAATCACCATACTGTTGTCTGTGTCTATGAGTTTTTTGTTTGTTTGTTTTAATCCCTTTACTTTTTTCACCCATACCCCTAACCCCTCTTCCCTGGGCTCTCCTCTTGCCCTCCAGTATTCTTCCCGTGATTCCCATTGGCGAAAAGTATTCAGAAACCAGAGGCAAAGAAGTCTGGTAAATGTCTCCTGAGATACAGAAGCAGGCAGAAGATGAGGAAAACATGTAACAGCAAATACCCAAGTGATTGGCTCAGCATGTCAAACTTAGCCCGACCAAAAGCCACACACTGATGACCCCTCTCTGAGCTTTCTTCACCCAATAATCTTCCATATCACAGTTGGTGGTAATTTCATCCTTGCAATTACTCAGTCTAACCTTGTAATTATCTTTATGTCTCTTTTTCTTTCACATCCTATATCCAGTTTGTCAGGAAATCATTCTGGTTTTACTCTCAGAATAAATACCAAGAAATAAAGATGGGAAAATAGACATGCCAATGCAGAAACATAAACAACAAAAGTAAATAGTGACATAAAGTACAAAGGTGAAGTTTCACTTGGGTAGCATGTAAACAGTTTGAATAATTGCTTCAGTTTAGGATTTCTAAATAACAGCACTGATCACATTTCAAGCAGGATGTTTCTTTGTTGTTGTGGGTGTCCTGTGCATTGTAGGATGTTTAGCAGTATCCTTGGCCTCTACCCAGTAGATAGCAGTAGCAACCCCCCAAAGTTGTGACAACCAAAAATGTCTCAAAGCATTGCCAAATGTCCAGGGGAGGAGACACCAAAAGCTACCCAGTTGAGAATCACTACTTTAGCGGATATGAATAGTAATTAGGTTTTCTGAGCAGCTCATTAAAAGTTAAAAAAAAAAAACAACTTTTTAGTTGGTGTTTTTCTGTCAACTGATGTATTGTCCAGAACTAGTCCTTCATTGAGATGTTAAATATTTCATATAATAGTATTTTTAAATATTTCATGTATTTTCCAGGTCTTTTTTTATTATTAACATAAGCATGATACAACCAGTATATATTTTTGTAACTTTTTTTTTATCCTCACCTCAGGACACTTTTTGCATTCATCTTCAGATAGAGCGACAGGAAGAGAGGGAGGAAGAGAGAGAAACATGGATGTGAGAGAGACACATCGACTGGCTGCCACCCACACAACCCACAAACTACAACCGAGGTACGTGCCCTTAGTGGAACCGAACACCTGGATCTCTCTGAACCATGGGCCGATGCTCTAACCACTGAGCAAAACTGGCCAGGGATATTTTGTAACTTCTTTTGAGTGTCATTGATGATTTATCAGATATTTAAATTGTTGAATAATGTGGTGCAATTTTATTACTTTGAAACTTTTTATATGGTAGCCAATCTTTATTTCTTTAATAATTTTAGAAAAATGGAATTAAATGCTTATGTCCATGTACTCACTTTTCAGTAGTTTTATATATAAAATTGAAGGAAGGCATGCCTCTAATATGAATTTAGAATTATTTTGTTGCTGACTCCTTTCCTTTTTTTCTACCTTTCCAGAGGAGTCTGGAATCCTTCAAAATCCTTCAAGAAATTTTTCAGGGGGTCATAAGGACAACAATTAATTATCACTGCATCTGTGACAATCCCATCTGAGAATGGCCTACATCCAAGGGCCCCTGATAGCACAGTATCTCACCATTCTGGCAGCCTGACTTGGGGCAGGTTTTGCTGAGAGAAATGGAAAGCGTATCTCTACCCGGTTCTACCCAGGATCTTCTGGTAGTGATGCATGTGGTCATAATCATTTTTAAATATGATTGTTTCGGTTCTGAAGAAAGCAAATCAAACCTGGGATCAGGACACTAGTCCACAGATTACAGCACAACCACCTGTGTGAACTTGGTGTCAAGTCTCTTCCTTTTCCATCTTGTTCTGGAGGTGTATGAGTGAGTGAGTGAGTGAGTTGTTGTTAATGGGATTACTTTCATTCCAGGAGAGGGAAAGATCACACATTTCCCAGGAGAATCACTTGGGTTTAGCCTGTCTGAACTCAGGTGGGAGTGTTTTCTCAATGAAAGGGAGACACAGTTCAAAGAAGGAAAGTGAAGACCGTTTTATGTTTTATGGCTATGATGGAACAGTTGTCTTCGATATGAAATAACTGGGGTCTAATGACGGGATACACTCAAATACATCTTCAGCCAGCAACCGGATCTTCAGCCACCTCTCCTTCCTCTTCCGTAGCGTCTCCTGTACTTGCAACCCATTCCCCGAGCAGACCCGGCTCTCCCAGGAGCATCGTTAAACAGCAAACATGCCCGAATGCCTAAGTCCTCACCGACTAGGGCACCTCCTGAGAGACGAGTTCCAGCCGGCTGTTCCCGAGTGCAAAGGCTGGCCGCCGGACTGTCTTGTTCTCTCTTGAAGCCGGTTTTGACAGCAGGGTTCCCTTTCCTTGGGCAAGGGAGCGGAGAGCCAGACCCGCCTCCAGGGCTGGACGACCGTCTCTGGCACTTGCAGAGCCAAGGGGCGGCTTCTCGCCCCGCTCTGTCCCAAGGTAAAGCGGCCCTGCTCTCTCTCCCTCACCAGGGACAGGCAGACGCCAGGGGTCGTCTTCGCCCCCTTCTCCAGCTCTCCTTCCGAAAAGACTCCGGGACGCCAGACCTTGCTTTGGTCCCAGCACTCGCTGCCTGCGCTGCGTGAGTCCCGAGTGGATTCAGGAGGCGAATTTCCCGCCAAAGATTTGACTCCGGAAGTTAATTCTCACCGCGCAGTTGTCCCCAGCAGGATAAGTTCAGATAGCACCCCAAAAGTCTGGGTCCTTAAGCCTCCACCCCAGCCCCTAGCCCACGAATACTGGGTGGTGGACAGCAGGTGTGCTGCCGGCAGCTCATCAGTCTCTGCAGTCTAGGAGCTGAAGGTGCTCTGTACCCGGCTCTTTCCCGACAACATCTGAACTGCTCCGTGGCACATCCAACATATCCCACGAACCCAAATATCCCCGCTGGAGGTGTCCAAATTCGAGTTTGTTCCGACCCCCCCCCCCCCCCCCCCCCATCGACTCTGGAAGCCTTTCCTGAGAGGTCTTTCCCTTCGGACCCGAAGGTGCACGCGCTTGGGCGCCGGGCCGCCTCCTCCCGGGCTCTGGGGGAGGGGTGGGTAGGCAGGGACCTGGATCTGATTAGGTGGGAGGGGGGAGCCATGGTCCCAATCGCTCTCACGTCTCTCAGCTCCTCGGGGAGGAGGAGGGACGGTACAAGAGAAGGAGTCCCACCCCTGAGCACCGGGCCCAGGGTTCTGAGCCGTCGCCGCAGTCTCCGGGCTCTCATCTCATCCCCACTAGAGGTCCCTGCGATGGGACCCTGTTCCAGCTCTGGCTTCTACGTGAGCCGCTCGGCAGCCCTGCTGCTGGCCGGGCTGGCAGCCGCGATCCTGCTGGCGCTGGCTGTGCTCGCCGCCCTGTACGGCCACCGCGCGCGCGTCGCGCCGTCGGAGTTTCACAACTGCGGGGTCTCAGACGCCGGGCCTTCCCCTCCGGACGAGCTGGGGGAGTCGCCGTCCGGTCGGAAGCCCGACCCCACTCGTGAGCCGGCAGTGGCGGCCACCCCGGACACGTGGCGACCCTCGGGGCCCTGGGACCAGCAGCGCCTGCCGCCCTGGCTCGTTCCGCTGCACTACGAGCTGGAGCTGTGGCCCCGGCTGCGGCCAGACGAGCTTTCGCCTCCAGCTCTGAGCTTCACTGGCCGCATTAACATCACAGTGCGTTGCACCGTAGCCACCGCGAGGCTGCTTCTGCACAGCGTCTTTCTAGACTGTGACAACATCGAGGTGCGGGGTCCCCTGTCCCTGGGAAATGGAAACGCCACAGTGGGCCGCGTGCCCGTGGACAACCTGTGGTTCGCGTTGGACATGCATTACATGGTGCTGGAGCTCCGCGAGGCCCTACAGCCTGGGAGCCTCTATGAGCTGCAGCTCAGCTTTTTGGGCCCGGTGTACCAGGACACTAGGGAGGGACTCTTCCTCAATTTCTACACCGACCAGGGTGAGCGCAGGTAAGGGCAGGACGGCCCGGGCCTCCTCGGCCCCCGCGCCGGTCCGTTTAGCTGCCTACCTGTTTCCAGGCGCGTGTCTCCCGCCCTTCCCCAATTTTCTTCTAGAGCCAGAGGGAGACCGTCTCCTTCCTCCCTTCCCTTCCAGAGACGCAGCTCGGAATAGTCTTCGAGACCGTGGCTAGTTTTCATTCCCATCCCTGCCTATCCAGTTTGTTTCTCTTGTTGTCCCTTTTAAGGTCGCTGCTACTCAGAAGTTCATCGTTTTCTTCGGAAAGTCCCCTTTTCCTCTAACTCGCGATTTCTTCACCTCAGTGAACAAGGTTTGATCCGCAGACCAGCAATAGCTGTAATACTTGGGAGCAGACTCATTGGCCCCACCCTCGACGTAAGGGGTCAACATTTGCATTTTAACGAGATCCTCGGGTGATTTGGGGGGCATACATTTGGAGAAGCTGGGGGCTATGGCACCCTCGGCCTCCCCGCTGCTCCCTTCCCGGCGCCCCTCCGCGCTCAGCGCCCTGCTCTGCCTCTTTCCTCTGCGCCTCTTTCCTCTGCGCTCTGTAACTGCTGCTCTTGCAACAAATGAACTCACGTGGGGGCTGTTCTCATATTTTTTTTCTTTTTGCTAAGATTCTCCAAACTTTCGGAATGCCCTTTAATTCATCCCCTCCCACCCCCTGCCTGGGGCCCGCGTCTAGCTTTACTAGCGAGCAGCCGCATCCCCTACCCCACCCGGTTCTTTGAACAGCTCTGCCGACTGACCATGCCTGCGCTTTTGGGATTCCTGCTGGAGATAAATAAATAAATAAAAGCGATGACAGACCGCCGCTCTGAGTTTGCAAGCTCACGTAGTGTACATATGTTCTTTTTATACTCATTTGAGATAATGTCTCCCACACGAAATGTTTCCAGTTCAAGAATTGCCTCTTGCCACGGTCTGCGACCACATTACTTGACCTCCATCGAGCAGAGAGGGATAAATGGTTAGTTGGAAGACACCAAAAAAGTCTTTTCAAACTGGCGATCTCCTTCGCTCACGCACTGCTGGAGCATTTGCGGTTTGCACAACTGCATGTACTTTACCCTTTATTATTAGAGAAAATGTTCTCAGATGTTCTCTTTGGGAAAGAAACCCACTAAATTACCCCCTAAATCATCTCATGCACTATTTTCAAAACTTCAGGGGTTTTAAAATAAGTTTAATAAGCTGCCTTAGTGGATGTGTAATCTGTAACTTTTGTTTTTACGGACAGCAAGCATGCCTGGGTTTTCTCTTTCAAAACTACATCAATGCTTGAGAAATTGTTTTTGAAAGGTTTCACATTAGGATGATGTGTATCTGGTCTGTGAGCACTGGAAACCTTTTGAAATAAGTGTGTGCCGTTCAAGGTGCAAGGTTTTTCAGAGGGAAAAAAGGGCCACTCTCTGCACACATATCTGACAGTGTTTCCTGCTGTCAGTAAGTATATCATCTGTTCACCCATCTCTTTCTTCTTCCTTAATGGGAAGTCTTAATGGGGCTGTGGCCCAGATAAACTGCTCCAGCAAACATGGGAAAAGAAAGTCCCCTTTTCTATTGTGCTGCCAACTCCAGTGGTAACTAGAAACCATATTTTGAGAACATTAAAATTCAAACAGACTGAAATCTTAATAAAGTTTTACATATGTTCCTAGACCAAGGTGGAACTCCACATTTGCAGCATCTTTAAAAAAAAAAAAAATTTATCCTCACTGGAGGATATATATATATATATATATATATATATATATTTGCATTTATCTTCAGATAGAGCAGGAGGGAGAGAGGGAGGAAAACATCGACATGAAAGAGACACATCGATTGGTTGCCACCTGCACAACCCCAATCAGGCAGGGGACAAACTGCAACCTAGGTACGTGCCCTTAGCAGGAAGCAAACCCCGGACTCTGGTCATCGGGCGCTGAGCCAAACCGGCCAGCACGTTTGCAGCATCTTAAAGGAGCTGTTGCATCAAAGTTGTTCCTTGAGGTTCCTGATTCTGAAGCCACAAGGAAAAATAATCTGCAGTTGCACTAGAAGCCAAGGTCACATAGAACCTAGACAAACTAATGACTTGTGGTGAGGCAGATTTTGGAAATCCAACAGGCAGTGTTTGAACCTAAGCCATGTGACTTGAGCCAGTCTCTTTGCCTCTCTGAGTTTGTTGCCTCCTTCATGGAATACACATAATAAGTGAGACTGCTGTTAGAAGTAAATGAGAAAGGGGGAGACAGTGACTGACTCAGCAAGTGCAGTGGTAACTACTATCACTAGCTGAGTGTCATTGTTAGGAGCATCTGCCTGTTATCTGCACTTGGAACCTGCCACATTGCTGGTACATAGGAGTTTAAGAAGAAGATTCCTATATGGGAAGAAACTGCCTACTGATTTCACATTTTTCTTAGGGTGTCTGTAATGTCAACTGCAGCAGTCAGAACATGTTCACCTCTCTTGTTCGGTGACCCTTTATCACAGTCTGGACAGGCTAATGTTTTAGAATAATTTTACTCAACACTGAGAGAAAAGAGAGAAAATCATTCTATAAAATGATTTTCAAAGAGCATTACTATCTCCCACTTCTAATGTTTAGGTTATGATTTTCTAGCTTCGGAGGTTTCTAGGGATGCTTCACACCTGTTCTTGGCCTTTTTCCACTTGGCAGGTGCTATCGCATTTCTGACATAGAGGAGCCACCTCCTGGATGACTCGGACTTGTGCTTCTGTGTGTCAGTGTCTGCTTCCCTCCTTCCATGTGTAGAAAGTTGAGAGCAAAATCAAAATGTTAATGTCCCTCAATGCAGTATTTCCCAAATGTCATCTGCTGTCATATTGCTGTTTCAGGTTGTGTCATATTTACACATCTCCAGCCATATTATTTGCTAAAATAAGTTACTTGAGTTAAACAAAAATATTAAGTAGAGTCATTGAAAAGCAACTCTATACTATTGTCATAAATGGGAATTCATTTGCAATTTATAGACTGCAATGGCACAGACTAATACAATAAAAACAGTGCTAATAAGTTGTACTTATTGTTATTGCCCACCGAAGGATCTGTAGGCTCTGAATCTGAGGGCTGCTCTCACTTTGTTAAAAAGGAAAATTAGAATTAGATGTTCAAGATAAATAACACTAAACTAAGACCTTCTCTTAACTCGATCAAGGTGATTCATAAAATTGGAAAAGAACTTTCTCATGTGTGAGTCAAATCTGTATTATAGTGTGTCTGAGAGCTACCGAAAATCTTTCTCCATCTATGCTTTGGGAAATCCTGCATTAGAGTAGTGGTTCACAAAATTTTAAGGTGCATCAGAACCATCAGAGGAGCATGTTAAACATGCGGATTCATGGGGCACACCCTCAAAAATTCAGGTCTGCCCTGCGTCGGCCTGCGGTCCAGAGACCCGGGTTCAGTTCCCGCTAAGGGTGCGTACCTTGGTTGCAGTTTGTCCCTGGCCCTGGTAGGTCATGCGGGTGGCAGCCCCTCAATGTGTTCCTTTTGCATCGATGTTTCTCTCTCTCTCTGTTCCTCTCTCTCCCTCCCACTCTACCTGAACAAAAAATGGAAGAATGTCCTCAGGTGGGGATAAAAAAAAAATTCGGGTCAGTACACTCATGTTGATAGCAATATTATTCACCATAACCACAAGGTGAAAGCAACCCAAGTGTCCATTGATGAATAAATGGCTAAACAAAATGTGGTTTATTCATACCATGGAATGTATTATTCAGCCTTTAAAAGGAAGGAAATTCTGAAATACGCTACAACATGAATAAACTTTGAGGACATTATATAAGGTACCTAGAGTAGTAAAATTCATAGAGACAGAAAGTAGAATTGTAGTTGCTAAGGTCTGGGGGAGTGGAGAGTTGTTTTTTCTTTTCTTTTTTTAAATCCTCACCCGAGGACATTTTTTCATGAGGACATTTTTTCATCAGTGGGTGTGAAAGGGACTCATCAAGTAGCTACCTCGGGCAAGAACCTAACAAGGGCCAGCGACAAATCGCAACCGAGGTACATGCCCTTGATCAAAACTGAACCCGAGACTCATTGGTCCGCGGGCTGACGCTTTAACCACTGAGCCAAACCAGCCAGGGCTGGAGAGTTGTTTAATGAGGGACACTTTACTTTCCAGTTTAGGGCTATTATAAACGAAGCTTCTATGAGCACTTGTGTATACGTTTTTGCGTGATTGTGAGTTTTTACTTTTCTGAAATAAAGCCCAGGAGTACAATTGCTGGGGCATATGGCAGTTGCATACTTTGTTTTGAAGAAACTGCCAAACAGTTTCCCAAAGTGTCTATACTATTTTATAGTCCCACCAGCAACGTATGAATGACAGTTTCTTTGCATCTTGGCCACCTTTAGGTATTGTCACAGTTTTTTATTTTATTTTTTTATTTTAGCTGTCCTGATAGATGTACAGTGATATCCCATTGTAATTTTAATTTGCATTTCTCTAATGGCTAATGACGTTGAACATCTTTTCATGCTTACTTGCCTTCTGTATATCACCTTCATTAAAATGGCTCTTTATCTCTTTGCACATTTTCTCATTATATTGTTTGGTTTTTCACTGTTAAGTTCTGAGAGTTTATGTGTTTTATATCTGAGTCTTTTTTGAGATATATGGTTCACAAGTATGTCTTCCCAGTCTGTATCTTGTCTTTTCACTCTGTTAATGTCTCTCAGAGACCAGAGCTTTTCATTTTAATGAAGTCCCATTTATCACTGTTTTATAGGCCATGCTTTCAGTGTCATGTCTAATAATTCTTTTTTTATAACTCTATTTTTTTTAGAGCAGGTTTAGGTTTACAAAAGTTGAGAGGGCGATACAGAGATTTCTCATAGAGCCCCGGCCCCCACACATACATTGTCTCCTCCACCATTAACATCACTCACCAGAATGTGTATGTTTTTAAACCAAAGATGAATGTATATTGCCACATCATAATCACTCAAAGTCCTTAGTTTACCTTA